GGGTGTTGCAGGAAGGGGGAGCAGCGTCACAGAGGTGAAATTAAGTACTAAGAACAGGATGAAAGAGGAGTGACATTTAGAGGTAGGCAGGAAGCTATAACTCAGCAGTGAGGGGGACATTAACTTACTTGTCATGAACCAACACACACAAACACACTGACCACTTTATCCCACAATTTCAGGTCCTATATTATGTGATGTACACCCCAACGTGTGCACTAAATGCTTAAACATAGGGGACGTCACCATTTTCAATAGGTGCACTAATTGGTGAATCATTACTGATTTAAATACAAATCTTACATCTAGTGAATAAGGCAGATTCAGAGTTTGAGGTAATATGAAAGGATACAAGATGATTGATTATTAACTTGGTGTTACAAATTAATGCAGGATACATATTCGGTGTCAGCCTGTCGTTTTTTGTAACTTTTCAGTAGAAAGACCCAAAGACAGATTCCACCATGCTCTTCTGTTCTGATGATCCTAATTTCCTCTCCCTCTCCTCTGCTGCTCCCCATCGGACAGAGTGACTCATAGCTTTTATGTCGAGCAGTGGAGGGCGCCCCCACAGCGCACGGAAACAGTTCAAACAGCCTGACCTTTGTGATGGGCCACAACACGTCCGCTACCACCATCATGTCCCCCTCGGGGCCCCTGGGTGCACAGTGCATTCATTCAGAGGATGAGTCTGGTGTCTTGTATAAAATATCACTAATATATTTTATAATACATTTAATTAATTAATTTATAAATACAATTTACTTAAGGTATAAAGATAATTGAGACCACTCATTGGATCAGAGATTAAACTAATCACATTGATGTCTTACTTAAGTCTAAATCCTGACATATCTTGGTTTGTTTTGCTGGAAAAGACTGGAGCAGAGATAAAGAGTATTTTTTTGTTTAAATATAAAATAATAAAAATGATGATATACGGTTTCAACAGTGAGGTCTGGGGTCTTAAGGGGAATTCAATTATTTTTTTAGTCCACATGTGTTTGTTATTATGAATATTTGTATTGAAAATGTCCAATGTTTAACTGCTGAATTGTCAATAAAATATGAATTTATAATAAATAAGTGTTTTAGACTTTAATTAACCAAAAATAGGTGTGTGCTGCTCATTCAGTTTAGTCATACAATGCTGCATTGATTTGAGTGACTAGGTTAAATAACATGGGAGCTACATGTATGGAAAAAACTGAAATTATCTTCTAAAAAACGAATTTGTAAACTCAATACTACACATCTATTATTTAAAAATGAGTGCCACAAAAGACACATTAGTGTTTTTGCATCACTTTTAATCATTTGGGCGAGTTAGCCACAGTGGTATTGAAACCCACATTAGTTTTGTGTCATGCTAACAGTAATTTATGGACGCTCTCTAAGTGAAACCCTGCAGTTAGGAGTGAGGGCTGGATATGAGCTAACCGTCCTGACTGCAGACTTTAAAACTGTGTAAGAACACTTGGTATGCTACCCCTTTTAACTTGCAGAAGATTTCACAGTCTAACATTTAAAGTCCAATAGCCTTTTGTTGACAAAAAAAGTGCTTTATAAATTAAGAAAAATGTGATCCTGACCTCATGACCGGAGAAGTCTGTCGATGGTGTCTGTTGTAGTTTAACACTGCATCCACACCTGTAATCCACTGTGCATCCATTGGGGGCTCTCTCACACCACACAAAACTTCTGCTCCACTCCTCTGGCTGTAAATGAGTGTAAACTGTCATGAAAAAACCTGCAGGTGTGTCATCAGCTTGTTTTAAATAACACAATACCTCCTTCACGGAGGCATGTTAGAAATGTTTCGATTTGTTTCGAGGTTTGATCAATATTTAAGCTACACAGGGTGAATTCACATACTGGCAGTTGAGAAGCGACTACATTTCCCATCAGCCACTTGGGGCGCATCAATGTTCCTTTTTCAGTGCTGTTTCTTTTAGTCAGCAGCTGGAACAGCTGGATCAACGCGCGACTGCGCAACAGCACCAGATTTTGAGGGGAACAGTAGAGATTTTTAGTTGAAAGTCGGTGGATTATATGTGTCGTTTTTCCTACACATTCATTTTGTAAGTGTTTTTGCTTTCTTATGATCTAATTTCTATTTTCTTCTATGAGTTCTAACTTTGGATACAAATATTTTAAAACATCTATTTGGTTAGTTTTTACGCCTAAACCCGGGTATTTGCTCCCTGTCCAGAGTGTGTGTGGCAGTGTGAGCTCAGCAGCATCAGACGGTTAGTTTCGCTGAAGAGTCTCCGGTGCCAACGCCTCTTTTCCCCCTCTGCACTTCTGCTGCCCGGCTGGGAAACTTCAGCTCGCACCGACCAGAGGGCTCGTTTCAAGGCGTCTCCCTTCAACTCATGAGCGGCTAAAGCACAATCCAACGCTAAAGAAGTTTTGTGAGAGTGAACATGGGCTGCACGATCAGCGCCGAGGACAAAGCTGCGGTGGAGAGGAGTAAAATGATTGATAAAAACCTGCGGGACGACAGAGAGAAGTCAGCCAAAGAAGTGAAGCTGCTTCTGCTCGGTATGAACTGTTATTGTATAAATGCATGAAATCTGTTTAATAACTTTTCATTGTCACTTTTTTAATGCAGTAATTCAGTTTATGACTGCAAACACTCCTCCTCCTTCTGTTGGTTTAATGCAGCTGTGTCTCATCATACCTCCACTGAAAGAACTTGTAGAAGTAAACCAGATGTTTGTGGAGAGGAAAACTACACGTCCTCAGCTGCCTCAGAAATGTTTTTGGTCACTTGTTGAAATGTGCCCAGAGTGCACTATTTGTTGACCAAGTGTTGTCACTTGTCAAAAAGCACGTTGAAGGCCAAGCAAACTTTAACTGCAGCTGCAGGTAAATGCTGACCTGGAGATAAAGCTTGAACACTAAAGAATGGGAGCAAAAGCTTGTGTTTGTGTTATACTTGCCAGTTTGAATATCAATTGATGTGGTTGTTTTGAATTGAAATAGTTTGATTTGGAAATTGTTAAAACTAATAATACACAAATATTTCTCAGCTTTTTCCATAAACCACTTCTGAAATAGCCTGAGCCTCCCTATGATCACATGTTCAAGGTGAGGAGTATCCAACAACCGACATGCTTTGACATGCTGTTTCTTGCTGTATCTCATCATGATACAGCCTGTAGATTACTTGTAAGGCTGCAGCTCATTATTCTCTACTAATCTGACAATAGCTTGACTAGCCTTATTTTGGTCCATCAAATGTCAGGAAATAAAAAAAGCATTTGTCCTCATATCATTCAATTACCTGTAAGATAATTAAAACATAAAATCCTCACAATTTCAAGGCCGGGATTCAGTTATGTTGGACATTGTTGCCATAAAACGATGGAAAATGTAAAATGGTCACCTATTCATTTTCTATTGATTGACTTATGAATGACTTAACTCGCCTCAATCTGTGCGAGTAGGATTTGTAGGTTGCTTTTTGTAAACACAACATGGAAAGTCGGCCCCTCCTCTTCGGCTTAACAAGTTCAGCCATATTCAGTCTGGCTAGCTAAGGGGCATAGCTTTTGTGTCCAGACAGAAGAATTTAGCAGAGCTACCAAAGCTTTATACTCAGACGACACTGATTACAGTCTCAGGGCAGCACAAAGCCCAGGGGAGAAGAGGCCGAGGGCGAGGGGCTGAGAAATAGGCAGAAACATCCCAAAACACAGCGAGACAAGAACGCACAGGTCAGCAGGGTCTCTGCAGATACAGACAGCACACATGATGATTGAGAGGGGTTTTGATGAAATCCTCATTTTGCTTTTGACTTAGGTAAAGCATTGTGTGTTACAGTGAATATCAGACAGACTCGCTACGATACAACATGGTATTGGTTAAAATATTTAACAGGTTCAGTGTTGTGACTTTTGGTAACTATTTCAGCGTTCCCTTATGCCTCTACTGACCACTGACTGTATTTAATTACCAAATGCTTACATACTGACACACACTTGACGATACTGATAATGTGGCTTTGAATTTACCCCTGGGAGATCAATAAAGGTCCATCTTTCTTTCTTGCTCTTCAAGCGTTGTAGTTTGAGACTCATCAAAATGAAGCAGTGTCTGACTTGACCCCTCATCATGCGGTTCATGGTCTAAGTCGGGTGATTTCCTATCTCAGATTTGTCTTATTTGATTACCTAAGAGGCCCTGAGAAGTAAAAGTATATAGTATTTCACAAAAATGTAAGAAAGAATAAAACATTTTCAGCAGCAATTTTTATTAATTGTATTAATGTGAAGGCTACTCAAAATTAGACCTTTTCCAGTGACTTCCAGTTATTTGACTTATTGGAATGGCTTGAGGTAAAATAAAAAAATAGTAAAGCACATTTCAGCTGAACCTGCAGTGAAGAACAAAAGGGAAATAATGTTTGAAGGTGCAGTATCACCAGGGGCGGTTCTAGGG